CCCTACACTCATTCTGATTTGCATCTTCCCTGAGGTGCAGTACCCTAAACTAGGTACTGCACTCCACCTCATTCCCCAACAGTCTTAGGCAAAGCTGGGTAACTTTGCATATATTGCAGGCTACTTCTCTGTTTATACACCCCAATATCATATAACTTTTTTCTACAAGAGTATGTGATCAACCATGACATTTTAAAATTTTTCTTTCCACACCACTCAAACTTAGTTCACCCTTGTTCTGCATGCTCTATTTGCATATCCAGTTACTCCTGGCTAGGCACTGTTCCTTATACAATACACATTTGCATGGGTTGATAGAGATCACATTTTGATGAGCACAGAGTATAAATCAGAAATGGCAGCGTATAAATCAGAAATGTCAGCAAAATATTTAACAATAACCTGATAATTAAATATATTTGGCAAATCAACTATTCAACAAAACCCTGATAATTAAAGTGCCCAAACTTCCACAAAGGTAACTGCATGCGATGCATACTTCTGCCGGTCAACGCTGAAAGCAAGAAAGGTCATCTACCCATCTCAAGACACAGAAGATCTGAGCATTGAACTTGGAGTCTTCTAGATTAGGGAAATCTATTGCAAAGGTATAGCTTTCTGTTATTGCTCATGACTGTTGCTACTAGAAAAGGCAGGCTGAGAGCAATAGCCATTTGCTCCTGTACCCTTACAGGGGGTCCTGAGATGACAGAAAACCTTTTGACATAATCCCAGGATAACACGAGCCAAATTTTATGAGAAGGGACTTAAATTATAGTATCACTGTACTGTCAAGATACATTCTGTACCTCTCCAGAACAGCTTTGTTACCTTTGCAGAAAATACTGCAAAGGGCAGAGACTCTTAAAACACATCATTCAAGGACAGTAACAACCTCCTGCTGCTGTTCCACACCAAATTCTCTTAGCTAACCAGCACTCCTGCCCACTTCAGGAAATGTTAATCACAGCAGGTTGAATCATCTTGGATGACTCCTAGACAAACCCTAATCTGGATTTAGTTTAGCAGGCAACATGCAGCCATGATTCAACTCGGCATTTTTAATATACATACATACACATACACACACATTTGTATAATTAGCATAAGATACACTTTCCTAATAATTTAATAACTTTCTCTGTGGTCCAAATGGAAAAAAGTCAAACCAGATTGTAGAGTACCATGGCTATACCAAACATCCTTCTTTTGCTCGTACTTGACTTCTATCTGCTACCCATGGTAGCTGGCAGTTGTGTTTCTGTGTGGTTTTTATCCTCACTTACCCTCTTATTTGCCTATGACTAAACCCAGTAAAGAACACGAAAATTGTCAGGGTACACACGAAGACAGCCTGCCATTTTGGCACAATTTAAATCGAAGGATTAGTACTGTGCTCATCACCAAACTATTGAGTACTGTACTCATCACCAAACTATATGAGTGCCTGTAGCACATGGGATACTATGTTTGTGTTTATCTTTGTTCAGTTGACTACTACTGAGAACATAAAGCAGCATGTTTTCCTGACATTCACATTCTGGCTCACTTAGATTTGTTTGTAGGTCACTAGTATCTTTCCATTTCATTAGTTACATGAGTCTCATTTAAAAAAGAAAACAGAGCTGTATCAGTCACTTTAGAAAGTGTTTATTCAAAAGCTTCATAGCACCATCTTGTTTTTTAAAACATCCAAATAAAATGCAGCAATTAAAACATTGGTTTTTTCTGTTGAGCATGACACTAACTCCACCTGTGAACATATTTATGTTTGTTCTTGCTAATATAACTGAAAAATAGCGCTCCTGTGCACACAGACATAGCACTGGGCCTTGATATGGGTTATCCAGTCCTAGCTCAATAATGGAAGAATAAAAACAAGTGAAACTGGAAACCGTTTCCCCCCCCCCAATTCTGCTGGAAGAGAAAATTTTTAGCAGTTTCAATTCTTATGTCCCCTCCAAGACTTCAGCAAAACTAAAAATGTAAATATATAAAATATTTTGGGCATTCTTTTATGGTAAAGCCAGACCATGGATGGTTAATTTATAAGTATCTCAATGTATTTGTTCTAACAATCACCTAGCTGTTACTTCTAAAGAAGGGCCTCTTTTATGGCCATCTTTTCTAGGGAAAATACTAGTCGAAATAATTCTACTGAGTTACTATGCTGATTTTTATTAAAAACTTAAGGTAAAATCAAACTGCCATTGACAGTAATTGTAATACATTTTCATTATGAGTTTTTCCCTTTTCAGTTTTGCGGAGTAGCCTGTCTGAGAGCTTTATTCAGCCAAGTCAGTAAAGCACTATTTCCCAAGGATCCTTAACTTACATTTCAAGAATATGGACCATGCTGAGTGCTTGGTCACATTGTCATTTGGCTATGGCTTCCCACCACTGGAATTCTCTATTGCATCTACTTCTGGTTGACCATTAAGAGGCAAATATTCTGTAGTTCACTTGGCTAAAGCCCCCATAGGGTCCCAAGCTGGCAAAACAATTGGTTCCTGCTGCATCACTGCCAAGATGTCTTCTGGTACATGCTTCTTATCCACCACAACTTCGTACACATACTCAGAAAACCAGTCATCAGTCATGATCAGGTAACCTGGAGATGAAAACAGTTCATTACAACACAGAACCATTACCAATACAGTGAAGCAGTCACATATACAAGTTTCACCTATGAATGATGCATTACAAACGGGACCTAGTCATACTTCATATGTCTCAAGACAAAGAAAAAAAATCACAAAGAAATTAACATACAGGCTAACCGAATGTACTTCATGTACACTGAAACACCAAGGAAGAAGCCTGCTAGGAAAAACAAGACCCAGAATATTCATCATTTATGCTTCCTCTGTTAAAATAGGCATTGAAAATACTCAAGTGAATTACAGTGCCTTAAAAAAAAAAATAGTATTTAAGGCAGAATGTAAGATTATCTGAGTATCTGGCGTTAGCAGTTTTCAGGATTTTGGTAAGAAAAGGGAAATTTTCCAGGTGACTATACAAACCATCTTTGGCTTAAGAAAATTTTGCTGGTTTAGTTCTTGCAGTAAGAGAAGGAGGCCATCTGCTTTCCTCAAACGTAAAGCCATCTAAATCACACTTTGGCTGAACTAAATCTTAATTTTCTCCCTTAATATCATTCTTACTGAGAATTTCAGTGAACAGCCTTTGAACTGAGAGAAGAAAGTCACATTTAGAGTATCACAGGTTTTAGCAGAAAGCTACCATTGGAAACAAACTATTCAAGGTGAACTGAAAATAAGAGTGGCTGGGAGAAAGAAAGTATTTAGAAGACAGACGAGAAGGCTTTATGTAATAAAGTTCCTCATGTCCTTATACAGTATCATCACACAATCAAATGAAACAAGAAAATGTCCAAAGAATATGGACAATAAATGCATCTATCTACACCATCTTGTTTCTAAAGTAAGAGATCAGATAATTCCCATAAATTAAAAACCCTATCAATTGTAATCCGAGCCAGAAGCCATTTTGGAAACACTGCCAAAGGGAGCTGCCTTGATTATTCTCTCTTCAGGATATGAGTTCTTGGGACACACAAAAACCTCTCACTCCCAAGAGCCAACAAGTAATTGCACCCTGAGAGGATAATGAACTCTGCTTCTGACATCCTGTATCTCAAAGCTTGACAGCACTGATTAGGATCGCAGTGTCTGAACAAGAAGGAAACATCAAGCAGAACTTCAGAACATGCAAATAAGTAAGGTCGCTCTTTGAGAAGGCCTGTGCCCAGTGTCACAATGAAAGCCATTATCAATTTCTTGATTAAAAGGAGACATACTTTATACGCAGCAATACATATACCTAAGAGCCTGCCGAAGGCAACCCTGAGCTCTGCATTCCATCCAGGTAACAGGCAGAAGCAAAAGAAACAGAAAAGTTTATTGCATTTCTGGGCAGGGTACACAATGGAGTTTTACCTCAGGCAATTAATCTATTGCTTCTACTCAAAGCATTTGTATGTTAAGGCCAGAATACGGAAAAGAACTTGCAACAGCAGCATCTTGTTGTAACAGAACATAGCACCTGACTACAAAAGTGTACTCCTCTGTGTATGAGGCTGGTCCACATTTCTGTAACTTAAAGGAAAACCTGAACACGCAGCATTTTGAAACTGACAAGCTGCTGGCCAGGGAGAGGTCAGTCGAAGATGAACGGTCTGCCGGTTATTGCATAACCTAGGATTTGGGCACCTGAAAATAAAGCCCTTGCCCAAAGGACCTCATACAAGCCACTTTGTGCTTGTGCCTTAACTCCTCCACAGGGAGAATAAATTAACAAAGCCATTCTGTCATAGTGTACTTACAGGATGATACATATACACGCATATGTGAATAAAGACACTAAGTGTCTACAGTTAAATCCTTAAAATGTCTCCATGCAGAAGAGTAAGTATGCAACAGTCAGTACAAGAGATTAAAAAAGTCAAAGGGGAGCTGACTTCTAGCTGGAGATGTACCACAAGAAAGTTCTTTTCATGCCAAAACAAGCAGATGGACCCCTATCAAATGGATGTGATAATGTGATTTAGTGTTCCCCTCTTGCTTGCTTTTAAAAAAAGATATCCGATGGGATAAGCCGGGTTCAAAGTTAGGTAATAATGTACTGTGTCTCCAGAACAAAAGAGTAAGCAGAATAATTAAACTTGCCTGTATGGCTGACAAAGTGCCAGTAAAACACAGAAAGGAAATATTTGACTGGGAAGTGACTTTTTTACCTCAAAAAACAAGCAATGTTTGTCAGCAGCTGTGTTTGTTCCTTGAGGAAAAACAGGATTCCAAGAAACACTTTTACAACAGATATGAATGTAATTACTAAATATTTAGGAGAGGCAATGCTAGGCTGTTTCCAGGGCTTCCCTTTCTCCAGGGCAAGCGCTACCACAAGAATTCGGTTCTGCCCACTCCGCGGAGTGTGAGCATATAAATAACTTCATCCCATGATACCCAAAAACCAGCAGTCACAGTCCTTCCAGTCCCGCACCATGCAAGTCTGGGGAAACAGGTGTTACCTGGCACCTTAGACTGTACTCAGAGCAAAGCAAGAGGGACCCCATGTGAAAAAACACTTCCATTTCCTACCAACGATAAGTCATTTGTTTTTTAATTACTCGAAGTCCAGTCTCTGGTGTTTTGTTGAAGGCTGTACCCTTTATCATCCTGTCCAAGAAATAATGGAGTTGGGGCTTACTTGTATCCCCCACACCCAACTGGGCCTCAACTGGGATATGCCAAATTTAACATCATTCTTGGCTGCCTCTTTACTGATGGGGATTCTGGTTCTCTGCACTGGACTTACCCAAGCACAGCTTCCCAATTCCTTAACAAGGCAGATAAGAAAAAAATCACTGCCAGACAGACTTGGCAGCATAGCAAGAGTTAGGACAGACTACAAATCCTCACCCTCCTACACCAGCTAGTACTGGATGCTGAAGAGTGAAAAAGCAGTGCAGGAGGAAGGGGAGGAAACCCTGTCAAGTGACCTCTTATGTTTGAGAATGAGCTCTGAAGGATATGCCCAATTACCTTTAGCTCAACAGTGGGTTGTTTGGTCATACCTAAGAAAATCATTCAGGGATTCACCTCCTTGAAAAAAGTAGTCTGAAATAGAATCAAGCTTCCTAGTTCTGATGGGATTTTCTGTCAAGGCACTTGTCCAGGCAACTTCCTAACCAAAACAAAATATAGACAGCGAGCAAGACTTCCCAGAGACCATTGTCTCTACCAGTACAAAACAGATAAGTGACAGTGACTCACCCAGAAAAGTTCATATAGATGGCATGCATACAATACATGCATACAAGGTACGGGCAGGGTTTATTCAAGTCACTCTGGGGTCCCATTATATTTCAAAAGAACAACTAGCTTCTCTTAAATGGCTCTAGAAGAACTTATTCTTGAAAAGTGAATCCATATTTGGAAAAGAGATAATGTCTAAGGAGAATTAAACTGTTACTGCAAACCAAGTAACAAGTTAAGCTTACAAAGCTGGCAAACAAGTTCAAGTAATACTCAAAGATGATTAGCTAACTGGGTTAATTTAGTGTTATTCCTAACTTAAAGCTTGAGGCACTACACTTCTTTCATTTCTAGTTGCTGTAGTTTTTATTTTTTGATGTTGGATTACGTGCTTAAAAGAGAAGAAAGCCAAAAATGCATGCAGCTCTCCACATGCATCGATTACAGCCTCCACAGCTCCGACAGAGCATTCACTGATGCTCCAGCCCAGTAACACTAGCACAGAACTGCTGCTGTTCAGTCACAGCTCAACAGGTACAATTTTTACTAGCAGTGTCAGGCTTCAGTCTACTGCACTGTGGTTTGGGAGTAGCAGCCAGTATCCTGAAATTAAGCCCAGTCTTTCTGCAGTTTTAAAAAAGAACAACTCTGAACCATGGCCAAGGAGCATATATGGCTAGCACAATCAAAGTTGCTGACAGACACCTCTTAACTTCAGAACATTTGGAGTAATGTTCTAACCAAAGTCCACACGGAGCAGTTGTAAAGCAAGCTGAGTGAGGCACTTCCTTCCTGGAAGCATTCCTCTAACACTAGTAGCAGCTAACATCACAAACCAAGTATCTGGAGTGTCTCAAAACAAAGTGTTTGACAATAAGAGCACAACTAACCAGGCATTTTTATATTTTACATTCTCTATTATACATAAAGATGCTTAACAAAGTTGTTACTAGTTTGTATTTGGAGACAAGAAAAGTTTTGATGTTACTTCTTTTTAGTATTGATTTGGCTTCTTTACTTAATCCAACATTCCAAAGTATATTTTACTACTGTCACATTGACGAGCCTTGAAGGCTGAACATCAACACAGTTTCATTGTTTTGTCAAGACTAAAGATTTTTATCGGAATACTTTGCTGTGACTGTAGACAGCTAACTCAGAACAGATACTACTGCAAGACCAAGGGGCCAGAACATAAACCAAGACACTGTTCCAAGAATATTCTATCTTTTAATTAGCTGTTCATGTATAAGATACCAAAAGCTTATGAATAAGACCACATCCTAAAAGAGAGTTTTCCAGAAATAGTCTATTCCCAGAAGAAACCACAGACATCCTGGGAAATTTCAGCTATACCAAATCTTGTAAGCACAACATTTGGGATTAATCTGCTACAGAAAAATGTGGTCAGCAATGACTATTGTGTTATGCCCTGGGACACACTGAAGTCTGGCTTGGCATGCTCATCAGTGAGTTATGCCATGGCTGAGTCCACATCCGGCCTGTCTCAGATAAGATATGACAGAAATCATGGAGATCTCGCTCTACTCCAGTCATTTAGGAAAAGCTGACTGACTGCAGGCCTTGGCAGAGCAAGCAGAAACGCTCCCACACTATCGGCCCCGCTCACCAAGGGCCAGGGGAGGTCAGAGCTGGCCCTCTAACCAGGCAGAGCAGCACTCTTCAGTCACCCCCAGGCTGAGCAGGGAAGCAACTAGAAGCAATCTCCTAAGCCACCGCTCAGCTGTGAGTCACCATTCTGTCCACACTGCCTGCCCATGGGCCATGCCAGGCTGGCACATCCAGCCTGCTAGGGCCCTACAGCGCTCACAAAGCCTTTTTAAAAGAACAATAGTGCAGGCTGAGACAGTCATCAACAAGAAAGCAAGTTCATGAAGAAAACCTGGCATGAGCTGAACTGCACGTAACTGGATTTTGTTGTTGCTAGTGCTGGTCATACCAGAGAGGAACACTGCAAGGATGCCGCAGGTCATGTTTTCAGCACAATTATGATTTTTTTTTTTACACACAGGTGTTAGAGCTGGAACAGTTTACACTACAGCTGTTCACAGCACAAGCTGCAACCAGCCATACCCTCATTTCCTCATCTACAAAATCAGTAAGTAAAAGCTTGCAGTGATTGACAAACAGTGCTTTAAAAGAAAATATAAACCACTTAGGTTTCGCACATGACTCAGGAAGATTAAGTAGTATCAGCCACAGCCAGCATGAGGTCCCAAAGATGAGACAGCTGTAGTATACAGATTTAAGCTTAGCTCTGTTACTAAAAACTTTAGTACATTTAAAAGTATTGCAGTGAAGTCTTTATTTCTACTTTCATACTAGAAGGTGAAAGCATTTCTATACAGCGCAGTTCTTGGAAGTGATGCTACCTTACTTGATACTGCGAAGCATCGTGTATCTATTGTCCCTCTATTAAAAGATTGGTTTACATGCCCACTGGAATTGTTGGTATTTCAGAGAAGTACTACCATATTTTCAGACTAATACTACCAGATTTTTCAGACTTGTGTTCTGCAGCAAAAGATTATAAGCAACAAAATAACAAAGGTTCTGCTCTCTCCCTACCACATCTGTCAAACTCCTACAGCTACTGCTTTTTGACAGGGATAATAGCTGGCAATTTACTTGTGATCAACAGCAAACTGGTATACAATGCTTAGGAAAATAAGCAGCTTCACAGCAATAAACTAATCAACCTTAAAAAAGTTATTTTATCAAAGTTTAAATACTTCATTATATGAACTTTACCTGAAGTCTACAAGGATCTTCCCATTACCTTCCATACACAAATTAAACAGTTTGGTTATTGGATTGTCAAAAGCCGTAGTGCAAGGGCAAGATATGCCCCATATCATTGAGCTATACTCAGCATTCCAGTTCCAGCCTCCATAGGTGCTTCTGTCAACCTTGTCCTCCTGCCTTTGGGACAAAGATGCCCTGTCTGTCAAGAAGTGTTAGCATCCATCTCCCAAAAAATGCAATTGCCTCTGCAGTTGAACTTGCAACCACAGTGTCAAGTTTATCCTGCAACATTTCCTGCACCTCCATTCAATGTTTACATTCGATTTACTTAGATTTAAATCACATTTAAGTGAAAAATGTTTGTCTTCCAGGAAGACAGTGCCATAACTCAGTGATCCATATGCTGTTTGCAGGCTTGTTTCATGCATGTCCTGGTGAACGACACACAGCACACCCCCTTTCCCCCCTCCACCTCCTTATTTCCAAACACTAAGTTCCATTTTCTGTTCCTGTGACTATAAGTTACTCTACCTTTATTACCACGGTCTTCACCCCAGGAATTTTCCACTCTCCATTTTTCAAATGCCTCTTCTTGCCCATCCTGTGACAAAACAAGTTGATGGCTATTCAGTAGTGAAGGACCATGTGACTTTACAGCAGCCAACCCTTCCAAGTCTAAATCCAGCACCAGCAAACCACAGAGCTCCACTCCCAAAAGTCTATAGGCATTGGCAAGTTTCAGACAATAGTTTCTTGCTAATGGTTGGAGAAATGTATTTTGAAAAAAAAACCCTGTATTTTCTAAAATACTTGTCTATCTGCTTACATAAAATGAGGAAACGTGGTCAAGAAGAGAGCCTGCAATAAATATTTATTTTAACCAGAAAACTTAAATTGAACTAAATTCAAGTTTGGACTTAACTGACTGACAGAATTTAAGCAGCCTTCCGTATCACCTGCCAGGACATGGAGGCCTTCTGAAATGCAGAATGCACAACTTGCTTGAATGAGGAATCAGAGGAAAGGAACAAGGGCAATGAAGCAACTGTAATAATTTAGAACAGTATTAGTAAGAGCTAGCACGAACACTTGAACCTAGCTGAAGGACACAGGTCCAGGTCTGGTGCTTTGAAAGATATACAAGGCTTCTAACAAGCATGAAGTACATTTGATGTCATGTTCAGAAACATGCCGTATTCTAGCTGCATTGTGTATATCTGAAGTCTGGTTCAAATCTATCAAGTACATAAAAGCACTGAAAACACCTTCATAGGCTTGCTGTGCCACAAAGTGAACTGTTGCTTCCTTCAAGCAGCCTCTCATGAGGAAACAGCAAGTCCCTTGAGGAACCAAAGAATAGTTATTCTTTTGCTACTACGTATTATTTTTTAAATGCAAAAAACTAACCTGGAAAACATCCCACAAATTCATTTTTAATATTCAAAGGATATTGTTGTGTTGCTTCTATTCTCACTTTAAAAAAATATAGGCAGTCCTTAAAATGAGACACTGGAGAGCTACCAGACTGAGGACAAGTCAACTCCTGATGCTATTATATAGACACTGGGATAAACATGTTTATGTACAGTAAGTTTTTAACCAAAAGGTGCATTTAATCCACATCAATTTTTTATGTTGTAAAATCATAATAGGATTTTTTAAATCTTCAAAGCATTTTTATGAAGTAGGTAAATCCAAAGTATTACATTTTACAACTCAGTTTATCAAAGCTCCTCTAGATTAAGTTAAGGTTTAATATAAGACAACATGTTCAAGCAAAAAGTAGAAACAACTTAGTCCATTTTGGATGTGGAAAAGCCTCTAAATACTGAACTTGTTCTAGGATAATTTCCTTTAAACTATCTTTTGATTTTAGATATACCATCCATCTTATACTGATTCTATACACATCCTTTTCTTAAAGAAATCAGGTCACATTTGATCACATTTTATGCAACTATACATTTAGGCATCCAAAAGTATGAATTTAAAAATACAGACCATAGACTATAGCTGCCAATGAAGTGCAGCCAGTAACTAGGTACAATAAGTACAAATATACACATTTCAGTTGTGAATAGATAAATAGGTTTTGAACACTAAAAAAGTATCATTTTTAGTATCTAACTGAAAAACATTTTTTTAAAGATGTGTTCATGCAATCTGATGCACAAAATAAAAGCGTTAAGAGCTCAGAACACAGAACACAACAGGAAAAGTTAAATGGAGTTGTAAAAATGCTTATGACTCAGCAGTCCCACCTCAAGTCCTCAAACTCCAGAGCTCAAGCAAACTTTTTCAGCTCTATGCAAGCTGTTATTTCTCAAGCCAAGGTCATGTTGGACAGGAAGAAATCATTTCAAAGAAACTTATTAATAATGACAACTTCTGGAAATAAATGGAAAACATCAACATTGCAGATAACCCTGAGTTGTAAATTTTCACATGGTTCTTTTTACTTCATATGTGCTTTGTTATGCTGCCAGGAGCAGATTTAGTTGTGGATTCATCTCAGCCTACTGTCTGCCACAGAGCTATTTTGGACACCATTTTTCTTCCTAATTATGAGTAGGTCAGAGAGGTCACATGCCAGTGAGTTGCAGGAGGTTAAGATTGTTGCAAAGCGCCTCTGGCATTTTAACAGAAGGAGCTTCATGCTGTCAAATGCAAATTGGACTGACCCATCGAATGGGATAGGGTAGGAAATACTCACTGTCATACTAGATTTCCTGCTCAGCAAAATACATCAGAATCTGTATTTAAAAATCAGTTAATGTAGGTTTTCTGGTATCTTAAAAATAGAAGCTAACTTGCTTTTCCCTTTCTCCAATAAAAGTTTGTGGGCAGAAGGAAAGAAGCCCTTGACTTGTCCAAAATTCTTCCCTCCTTGTTAAATATTTATAGTTCTGAACACTGACACAAACAACACAGGGAGAATAGACAACCTAGGCCTTGTGCAGCAGGGTGTTGTGGCACACATGCTGAACTCTAGCAGAACAGCTTACATGCTGTGAATGAGCCCAGAACACATAAACAAGCTGCCAGAATATTCAAATACATCTGTGCAAGCATCAGAACTTGTGGAGAGAGACTTTACCTTCTCGGTGACAGCCGTCAAGACCATGGCATGGGTCATCATTGATTCTCCAAAGATTAATCGTTCTGCTTTGTTCATGTTCTTGACAGAGACACCAAACACCAGCTCATGATTAAATCTATTAGAAAGCCACATAAGCAATATCAAAAAGGACGCAGGGAGGATTCTCACCAGAAAATCAGAGAATCAGTAGACTGCCCTGTCCCAGGAGCCACTGCACAGGCGTGTAAGTTCAACTATTTTTAGTGTCAGAATAAATGCAAAAACTGATCCCTTTGGGAGTTTCTCTGACCAGATACTAGACAATCCAAATGAGTAAGAATATTTAACAATCTCTTGTAGCGCATCTTTAAAGGATTAATATTTTAGCTAACAAGTGGAAAAAACCCACAACATTTCTGCTGCTGCTGAATTACTTAAATATACTCTTTTTGGGTATATAATCCAAAGTATGGACAAATTAGTTTCTTAAGCAGCCAAAGCACTGTTATGTCCTAGCCAAGTATCCCAAATGGTATTCTGTTTTGATTTTTTACTTACATATTCATGTCATTGATTCCCAGCTTGCCATAGAAGTGCTTTGCAACATCGCAGCCAAACCACACAGCCTACAAATAGAAGGAAGAGTCATGTCTAGGCCATATCCCAGTGAGTTTTACATTACAAGAGTCACGCCATGCCATCCACAAACAGAAACCAAACAAACCTCGCCATCCTTAATAGATGCTGCAGCCAATTTTTTCAAGACATCAACAGGCTGATTGTTATAGAGCGTTTTCCTCCCTCCTGCCATGTTGCCCAGGTACTCCACTGTATACAGCCTGTTGTATGGGTTCTGAGGTCGAGGATCGTTCACTAGACAAATCTGCCAAAAACCAAGATGTCATAAATTAAGGTGCAGCTTAACTGAAATCTTTGAGAAGTGAATCTAGGTGGATTTCAGAGAGCTGCTTTTGTCCCAGCTAGCTGTCTGTCCCATTAGCAAACAAGCCACTTGGCTGAAATACCAGGTTTAAGTTTTTGTTTGTTTGTTTTTTTGTTTTAGAAGTTCACCTCATAACTGTGGCACAGCAGCTTTGCATGTTACTCCTGCTCTCTTACGGCATTTTATGACTGATTAGGTCATGACATATTTTATCATTACAAAATCATTGTGGAAGTGTAATGCGAGATCACACTCATTGAAGGGTAGAGCACAAACAGGAGAATGGGGAGAATAAATATAGGGCTATCTTTGACTTGTGGGAGTGGTATCCATCCCATATGGTGCAGTCACAGGGGTGGAAACAGTGGAAAATAAGTGGCTTAGCAGCAAAAAAAGGTCTTGGGAAGCTACAGCCTTTCAGCACCCCTAACCTTGTCCTCCATGTTGAAGTAAGGCTTCACATGCTCATTGTAGAACTGGACCGGTGTCACAGGGCCATATTTGTGGTAGTTCTTCTCCTTATCCCGGAACTCCCAGCAGAAGGTCTCCGGAGGGCTGCCCAGGCAAGTACTCACTATTCTGAATACCTGCTCAGAGAAGCAAACAGCTGTGAACTTGCTGAAACATGCAGGTCTGCCTCTCCTACCACAGCAGTGCCACTGATGAATGGACTTCACGTGAGAACCAGCTGGAGAAAGGGGATCTTAACGTCCACCTTTGAAGAACATGAATAAACGTACACATATGAATTATTTGTATTCAGCTCTGGAAATCTAGGCGTTTCAATAGTTCAAAATCAACCTAAAAGGCCACAGAAAATCAACAGCATCTCTCTCCATTCTTACACTCTTTGTTCTCAGGCAATCTATCAGGCAAAACAGAACCTTAAGGTTGAACATATACATTCCAGTTTATCCTAGGAATGCAGCAGCCAAAAGCAAAAGCCAATACACTGCCCAGTCTCATTCCAACATTTTGTAAGTAATTCTGAAGCTCCCCCAACAAGATACTTTCCCAGTGCAAGAGAAACTTTATCAAACTGATTCTAGAAAGGCTTAAGCATTCAGCATCCCCTGTTCCACAAGGTGGTTTGCCCCACACAGAGACAAACCAGACCTTCTAACATGCATACAGCAAAGCATTTTATCCCAGTGTTTCCCCTATACTAATCCCTTTTTTCCTGGAATGTTCATTTGGATTTCGAAGATGGGCCTTTGCTTCTTTTCAAAAGCCTAGAATAATATTCTTGCCTGTTTTAATACATTTAACAGTGTTTCGGTTTAGGGTTGAGCTGGCAGGTTATGTAATTTAATTCAAGATCCCTGCCTGCTGACTGCAACATCCTTCACAGCTGGCAGCTTTCTTTTAGCTTTTTAGCACAAAAAGGTGACCAGATTTCAAGTCATCAGCCTCCCTATAAATCAGAATATGAAACTGCATTTAAGAATCACTACTGTACTTTCTCACAGAGCTTATCGTAAAATGTCCTAACGCGTAGGCAGTGTACCAGATGACTGTCTTTAGGGATATTTAGCAGGACCTGCCACAGGTACTCTGGGGAGAGAGAATTCAATCATATCGAAACAGCTTTGAATCTGTTTTACTTCAGCTGACACTGGTCTACTTCAGCTCTGTCCATGTCTTGAGCACAAGACAAGTCTTTTCCTTGCAAGGAACTAACAGGTTATTTAAAATAAGAGGAGGGGGAGTCAAATCTCAACTGCACCTTCTGCACTAGGATCCAATGCCTGTGGTTTGTGCCAGCTTTCCTAGGCTGTCAGTCTTCACACTTTCTCTCACTGACTTTTCACAGGAGAGGAGACAGAATACCTTTCCCAAAGCTGACTTACTCTTTCTGGAGGTGGTTGAGCTGATTTATATGGATCCTAAGGCTCCATAAGAACAAGCTTTGTGCTAGTGTGCACTTTGTACTGACGGCAAAAGGAGTGCAATGCTTGTGCTAAGTAACACTATTTGCCTGTGCACAAAATACAAAGGTGTTCTTGCTCCAAGTAATTTAAGAAAACAAGTGAAGAGATTGATTATGGGTTTAAACTAGAGTGTGGGCTTAATGTTTTTACTGGAAGAACTCACACATTTATTTCTCAATAAAGATGTTAAAGAGCAAATATAAATCCCTAAGCTACTACAAATATTTAATTTTGCACAGACTGCACAAAAGGTAGCATTTGCTGTGGATACACCCACATTACCTCAGATAACCCCAACTGGTGAGAGATGAGGTTATGAAAACAAAATAAGCAAGAAAAACGCCTAAAAGGAGAGCAACGAGCAAGCGGGCTCCAGCCAGAGGAAGGAAAATGATGGAGACAAAAGTCTCAAGTTAACAGAGGCAGTGGAGCCTGGGAATGGTCTCCCTCAATTGTTTTGCCACCACACCCATCACAGGCCATCTCTTAGTATCTCACAAGCTTCCTCTATCAATAAATAAAATAAGCAGACATATTTAAACTAAAAGGTAACTTATATCACTCTAGTGACAACTAGAGCCAAGATAAGGCAAACATATAGTGGCTTGTGCTAAAAACAAAATGAACGAGGAGGGGAAAAGAAGAACACTCCTGATAAGGAAGAATCTACAAAGGAGAACAGTAAAGGAAGAAAAATTCAATCACATGCACTGCACTGATTTCAACTTCTGACCCACTGTGCGCTGGTTTGATAAGAAGAATGTTTATACAGTTCTGGAGTGAATATTTAATCTTGTGTTCCAGTACAACTGCTCCATTTTAGCTAGAGCACTGCCTCCCAGCATGAGCAAACCAAGATTTGCTATGCAAACAAAACTTCACAGAACAAAACCAAGTTCTGCTTTGACACATACAAAAATAGATGCAATGCCACTTATATACATATAAATACATTAAATAAGAATGACCTCAAACCTTTAAAACTAAGTGTTTTTAAAGTATACAAGACAGGTGCAATTGCACATTTCAACTACAAAGTTTATTGAAAATAAATCCACTTAAGTTGCAATAGCAAACCACTATTACTACTGCAGGAGAAAATACTGTGTTAACTTCAGAGAATTAAGCATAACCTTTTTACAGAACAGACAAATTGCAATCAGTTAATAAGCCTTTAATGCCAGTTCCAGAATCCCTTGTCAGAGGGCAAGATGCTCTAAACAAATGAAGAGACAGTTTGCAGTGAACTGGATGTAATTGTCCTAAAAATGAACATCTCTAGGAAGATTTTCATCTCTGCTGTAAAATCGTCCAAGGGCTTTTGGACACACACACTGGATGTAAGCTCTATTAATTCACTTTTGAACTAAGTGCTGATCGGCAACATACTGGGGTAGGCTCAGAGCACAGAATTACTGTTGATCTTAAGGCATACATTTCATAAAAGTTTTCATTTCAGTAATATAACCCAAGGAACACGAATCAGTTTTCTTTTTTAATCTAACTTTAAAATTAGATAAAAAGAAGCTACAGGTTTTTACATGAAGTGCAAAGATGAATTTCCAAAGACCGTAAGACTAACACATTAATCAATACTTGCATATTAGTGGAACTGCCTGAAACTTCACCGAAATAGCCCAAGGGAGGTTCTGCCTAATACTGATGTTTACTGGATTGCAGAAAAACTGATACGCATAACCAAAACATTCGATTTCTTGAGATATCTAAAGACAGACATTAAAACCACTGGGTCACTTTGCATTGTATGTTTGAGAAACAAATGAAATATGTACTTTTTTTTAAAATGCATGCACTTGGTCAAACTACAACAGCCTGAACTTTTTAAATTATTTTTGGCTATTTAAGAATCAAGTGTAAGGACTACTGAGCAAGAAAAATTACATGGGTCACTCATATTCAGTGTGACCAGATGGAGGGCCAGCCACTACACACACATGCATACTACAGACACGCTGATTGATTTGATTGAGTTAATTCACACAGCCAGAAACAGATGCTGTGATTCCTTTCTCTGCTGCCCCCCAGTATCAGAACACAGCTGGATTTTCAGCCTTGTGTTCAGCTCACATAATGCAGAGAACTCCCTTTTGTTGTTCTTTTCTGCTCTCTTGTGGGGAATTTCTGCAACAACACTCATGCTGCAAGATTCTGCATTCGAAGCCATCAGAATGCAATTTTCAACCTGCCCGTTTCCTACTATTTATAAAAGCCTGATAGGCCGCTATTTTGACCTCTCAAGATACAAAATGCTGCTTTCCTACAGAAAGGGGCAGATGTCTCTGCCCAAATGTCATAGTTTTGGAAACTATAAATTCAAGATATTTATCTGGAAGTATTAGAAAAAACTCAGAATGAGATAAGCAACAAGCCACTTCAAAGAAATTCACTTGAATACCTCCAAGCACACTGCCATACAAAACATTCCCAGTTAGGCAAGCAAAAGGCACTTATTTTGGGTGATCCAATAGCTATAGAACAAGAGTAAGCAAGAAATCTCATCCATTCTAGCCTTGTGTTCCAAGAAGATTCATGTCACAAAAGTATATTTACCTCTTCTATCATTGTGTCCATTGCAGCACAAAGTTCTCCTTTAATTGTCCCACTTTCCACCATATTTCTTAACCGCAAACAGTATTCTCTCATCTGTTTAAAGAGAAAGTCATTATTATAACTGTATGAAAGATGCCACCTAATCAGTTTTCAGAACTTCCTATCTGGTTGTTTCAAGCACCTATTTTACTCTTCATAACATGTTTTCAAAATGAAAAGAAAATCCCTTCCAGAAGGCTTTGTTAGATACTGATTCTTTAAAAAAAAATCAAGATAATTTAATGATTTAAAAGTAAAAGATCACAAAAAAATTATCAGAAATTAACAAATAGTTGCAACTCAATTACTATTTTCCAACCATTGATTTGAAGCTTACAGCCATTAGCTCTTCTTAAGGCTTGATTTCTCAGTTCTGTAACCGATGCCGCAACATCCATACACATCACCACCTCTGTGACTCACAGAGCAGACTGTCTTCATACTGTAAAATTTATTTTGCAATTCTAATGCATAATTGATCTCTTGGTTGATAAAAAGAATGGAGCATTTCCCCACTGCATGCAGAAATGCAGTAAGAAGAGCACACACTTCCCATTACTGTCACCATCCATAAGGCCAGGAACAGTGAGTGGAGATCCCACAAGACCAGCTGGTTTGCAATGTTCAAGACTAGAACAACATTAACACCATTCATTATGTCTAAGCTCATTTCAGCACATTTTACATTTTTTATATGGATTTCAGCAGGCAATCTTCCCTGAGTATGTAGCATATGAACTCGAAGAAAAACAATCAAAGCCCACTGCAAAAAAATGCTTTAATTGTGTTTTTATCTAGCTACCTACACTAGCATCTTCCCAGATTAATTCAATTCTGTAGTTCAGGGAGCAAGATTACACCTTCCTTCAGACAAAGCTGCACACTTCTATACTGAAAGCCAATTTTTAAGACTCAGTGTTTTGAAAATACTTTTTTTTTTAATCTTTTCCATCAAATTTGGCAGTAACCTCTAGAAACCTTGGCATACTGGTAGATGAAATACTGAGGGGGTGGAAAAAAGTCACCTAGAGGCCAAGTGCTAGTTTTGCAGAAACAGACTTAATCAGCCACACATCAAGAATTAACTTTTTGGAAATTTGAGTATTAGGAACAATTGCTACTAAAACCATGTGAGGTACTTTCAAGCTACTGAAGCCCAGCAACAGCCATCTTCCATAAACACACTTTAGGGCTCCATGTTTCAAGATTAACATCAGACTTCGCTGAGACTTTAGGCTGTTTTTTGAATAAAACCAAGTTAAGTTGCCAAGATGCACTTAATACTTTGGTCAATAAAGAGAAATTAAGGTGGCTAGGAACACCTAGAGCAGGGTCATTTCCATCCCTTCTCTTTCTTTAATTGTATCATCTAAATCAATTTTACCTTATGATTCAAGATCTCATTCATCCTTCTAGTAGCCTCTGTGGTATGAGACTCCGGGAAGTATTTCTTGGGGACAACACCATACTTTTCTAAAGGAAAGTAATAAAACTATGGGTTAACAATTGTTTTTTCCACTCGGCAGATGCTAGTGCTTCCGCTTATACCCACATAAAAGCTAAATATAGTTGGGTTTTGTGCAGAGATTATAAGAGAAAGTCTCTTATTTTAAGGTTACAAGTACTCAAATTTTACATTTTAACTTGTGACTGACTCTTGACTTCTGATCTGCATTCCACAGGGATCCCAAAAGGTGGAATCCCTGAATGGCTCGGTATCATTTAATTCAATGCTTAAAAGTTCTAAACTAATTAGTGCTTTTTAAGAAGCTCTTTTCACCAGAAAAAAACCCTGATTACTTGAAAATTAAGCTCGTGAAATATCTTCTAAACAACTAAGCCTTTTATGAATTATTCCATGTATTTTATCTAAGGTTAAGTGACTAACTTCCCAGTCTCCTTTCCTCCTCAACATTTATTAAACACAGCTCAATTGCCTCCTATGTTATGGTACCAATCAAAGATCACACCATTCAAGGCTCTGGATGTAACAGCAGCATCCAAAATCTTTTCTGCCCTGATTAAATATTTATAACAACTGGATGGGAAAAAAGTAACCTCCAGGCTTCAACAAAACAAATTCCTTTTGTGATTCTAAACTTACATTATTGGCTTGTTGACTTACAAAGGTGTCACATTGTTTCACAATACAAATGAAAGCCACAGCCAGTGTAATTCAGACATGGAGAAGTATCTCCTTAATCAGTGTAAGGAGGATCCCGCTTAAACTGGATCTTTGTAAGACCAGCATTGCCACATTCCACATCACTTCCCTCTCACTGATCTTTATATCATCTTTCTTCAGGCTGCAACTCTTGAGTAGTTTTGCTTCTGCCTTGTAGACGCACCCTGGTCTAGCAATGTTTTTTCCTTACTATGTGCCATAAAAATTGTATACATGGATATAAACAAACTGAAGTAAAAGGGGACTGAACCTTTTCACGACATGGAAAGTCTGGGATATCTAATTACTTCTGTTGATCTTCTGAGCTTCTATCATCAGCAGCAGTATGCAGGAGCGAAGATCCCAGACAAGATTTAGGCCTAATATTTATAAGCTGGCATGAAAAAGGTCTCTGATTAAAAAAGGTAGTGGCTAATGGCATCATGTTCCTTAGCAAACTCCCAGGTCTCAAACTCAACTTCTATTTCATTCCTCATCTCTCAAACAGCGTGCAATTTCAGGAAGGGTTCCTAGTGACCAATTCTCTTACCAATGATGTTAACCAACATATCCCACTGTCCACCATCATTCGTGGGGTTGGAGAGCAGGAACTGTATCAGTCTTCCTTCCACAGGCTCCTTTTTCTGAGCCGTTTCCACAAAGGCATTTAAAAAGTAGTAACAACGTTCGACCTGTAATGGACAGGCAGGAAAAATAGATATTTTAAGTGTGACATTCATTCCTGAGTAGTCAGTTCTTCGGAAGTCCTAACTAGATGAAGCTACCTTCTGCTCATATACTGAAGTGCTTATTTTCCCCCCAGCATTCCAGGGCTTATCCTATAAATTTATTTCTGTTACAGACCAAATATTTAGGAGTGGGTTAGCACAGAGCTTGAGGGTAGGGGAACAGGAAATGTGAAACAGAAGTTATGCAATGAAGCCTGGCCCAAACTAGTACTAGATTTTCTCGATTTCCCTTAGGGGAAAAAAACAGGCACACAGCTCGCAGATCAGTAGGTCACAAGCACGACTGAAAGCTCAACAGAAAGTCACAGTCATGTTTCCCCTGAGCCTCCTACAAGTAACTTTTGAAATACGCACAGCACTTGAAAGAAGACTTTTACTGTTCCAAAACATTGACATCTTGACAACTCGCTTCTCAAGCTGAAAGTCCCACTTTGCTCAACCCACACTTGAAATACATATTTAAAGAACTTTTGAAGTTTCGTCTCATGTACGTTTTCCACCTGCGTTGTTAAGATAGTCCAGCCTAAAAGAAATTCTGTTTCAATACTAATACCTGACTGCATAAACCATCCTAGCACAATCTGCAACCCGTACTACTGTACCTTATCCCAGAAAAAGAGATACGACTGGCTGAATTCAAATTCTTCAATGTTGTATTTCTTCATGAAAGGAAGACGCATTGCATTGAGACAGGAAAAGATCCAACATCTCCCTGAGAGATCAAAGGAACAAGAATTAAACTGGAATGTTTAAGAGCTGCGTAAGTTGTTTTTTTTTTTTTTTTTTTTAACACAAGATTCGTGACACCGTTCCGCCTCAAGCCTTTGGCCCACTGTTCTGGCTGGGATTGTAAAACACCAAAACGCTCATGAGACGTTCAGAAATCTTTTATTGCAAATGCAGGTCTCAACTGATTTTATCTTACACTATACAGAAGGGAAAAAGGCAAACGCTGCAAGTCTAAAGACTGTTATTAACTCAAGAGGATGCTGCAGGGATTCAATTTTGCTCCGAGCCTGACAGAAGGACTTCAGAGGCAGCCGAGGCTCCCGGGAGTGCAGTCAGCATTACATCATTCACTCCCCAAACGGCAGAGCCGCCGAGGGAGCGCACCCCTCCCCACCGCCCGCACCGGCCCCCCGCGCTGGCCCCCGGGGAGCCCTTTACCGGAGTTCTTCTGGTTGGTGACGGGCTTGCCCTCGGCGGGCACGGCGTGCTGGAAGACCT